CTGGACACAGTCTCTGGGAGCCCTCCGAGAAATCGCTTGACCAGCAGCACTCTTGCTGCTTGCCAGGTTGAGACAGCTGGAGGCAGCCACTGGGCAATCGCTGGCACCGTCCCTGGTCCCCTGTCATTGTGTGTGGCTTTGGCTCACTCTACTCCCTTTATCCTGGGAGCTTCTAGGATTGCTGTTTTATCCCTACCTCGCTGAGGCTTTATAACAACCTGCTACAGCATCCTGCTTTGTCTCCCTTGATCATTGTTTGTGCAGTAAGCAGACTGCTTCAATACAGTTCATGCTCTCCGATTCTGTGAGTGCCTTCTGAAACCCCTGCGTTTCAACAAAGATTTATTTTCGGGGCTGGAGTAAGCTGTCACCTGCAATGCCAGCATTCCCTGTGAATGCCAGCTCAAGTCCTGGCTGCTCCACTTCTGATCCAGCTCCCTGCTGATGCACCTGGGGAGGTAACGGAGGGTGGCCCACATGCCTGGATCCCTGTCACACCCATGGGAGAGCCAGATGGAGTTCTCTGGCTGAGCCTGGCCCAGCCCCGGCCAGTGTGACCATTGTTGTATTTCCCTGTCCACCACCCCTGCCTCCCCTTTGTCACTCCACCTTCCAAATGAATAAATCTGAGGAACTCCTTTCCATCGCTTGGACGCTAAGCCCCTCTGTCATTTTTCTCAGTCTCTTTTACCGTTCTGTTCTACTTCTTACATATTTATTTATTTACAGCTGTTGTCAGCTCCCAGTCCTTCCTGTTTGATCAACATGTGTCCTTCCCAAGAGCTCTCTCCCACCTCCCAGAGTCCCCTTGGCCAGGGCGTCCTCCACGTCCTGGCAGCTGTTGCCCACCCCGCCCCTCGCCCCTGCTTCCTCTCACCTCAAGGGCAGCACTGTTGCTTCTGCTCACTGCCTTGCCTCCATTGCATGCTGGGATGCGTTTGAGCAGGTCTGTTCGTCCTTCACTGCGTCCTCGTCTTCCAGAACAAAGTGCTCACTCCACACCTGCCTGCCGCTGCACACCAATGGCTGCATCCAAGAGAGCATCCCTGGAGGATCGGCTGCCCATGACACCCCAGCATCGGCATCTCTGAGAATGTTCTCCTGCTTCCTATCAGGGCTGCATGTGCACCCAGGTGCCAGAACCCCTGAACTGGGTCAGGAAAGGGGCCACCCTGTTCTGTATGCAGACCGCCACTTAACCCCGCAAGGGATGCTGTGGCACAGAGCCCACACAGCTCTCCAACGCACACACATACCCCGAGCACTTCTTCCCCTCCCATGTCTCAGGTCAGCGGGGGTGGTGGCGGGGGGCTAGCATAGGGACAAACTGGGGTGCCACTGGGTGGATATGCATGCAGCAGCAATCCTGACAGCTCTGTTCTGTGCTCCCTCCATACTCCAGGCTGTCCCAGGGCATGGGCTTTGCTGGGAGCACACGGGGTTCACCTGCTTGCATCCCAGCATCCGTGCCCGCCCTAAGTATCCCCGGTGCCATGGAGAGGCCACTCCTCCTAGGGAGGGCTCATCTGCTCCAAGTCAGCAGACCCACTACATCTCCTTATCCTGTTCTGTTGCGAGGGTCCCCGGGTACAGGGTCTGGGTCAGAAAGGGTTGGTGGCCCAGCTGCACAGTGCAAGCGTTTCTGACCCTTACTCAGCCCCAACCCCACCTTGCTCAGGCTCCTGCAAGGCCACTGGGCTCTAGCTCTTTCACTGCTAAGTCCTTGCTCAGCCAGGAGACAGCAGGTGCCTAGGGTTGTCTTCCTGGGCTCTGTGACATCATTTGCCACCCCTCCATCCGCCACCATGGCACTGCCCGACCACGGCTGGGCTCACAGGTGTCTGCTATTCCTCTGAAGATTGGATTTGTCATCCCTGTTACAGTTCTCTCTACCAAGTGGTTGGCTCCCAGCAAGGAAGGGGCAGGGGGCAGAGTTTTGCACCTACTGCGCTGGAAGACCCATGTCAACATAGCCACACGGTGCGTGTTTGCTGCACGTCTCTCTTTCCGGCTGGCCTCACTTCTCTGTACCCCGGCCCTGGCCCAGTTCGCCACGGAACATGCAGAGTCTGAATCCAATTGATTTCTGGATGCTGTGAATGGATGATTGCTCATGACTCCCCAGAACCAAATCTTTCAGATCTATCTCCCACCTCCCTAGGACCTAGATGGATTCAAAAGAACCCAGAAGTAAATTTCATAGGGAAGGAGTAGTTGGGAGAGGGGTGGTAGGGAGGCGAGGTCAAGGGTAGAGCAGACAGGAGGGAGTCCCATTCCAGAAGGATCACTGGAAGGGTCATTGCAGCTGCCAGCCCCCCAGCTAGCCCCCCACACCGACACACAGTGGCTTACAGGACATCCGACTTGGCCCTGGGCCCCAGGGAACTCCAGGCCTCATTGTGTTCCTGGGATCTCCTGCAAGCCAACCTGGACTGCAGGTGCAGCTGAGTGGGGAGCAAATCAGAGACATGTTGAGGAGTTCCGGACACAGCCCAGGGCCAACAGCTAAAAGTAGAGCTCCCAGAGGCACTGACCAGCAGTCACCTGGTGTTGGCAGGAGGACTCACTGCTGCCTGCTGGCCTCTGGGTGTCAGGCTGGCGTGAGCATCACACCCACGGGACCATGGCACTTGCTGCCTGCCACAGGAGGCTGTGAAGGGGCACCACCGGGCATGCATCCAGTGACGGATTACAAAGAAACAGCAAGGCACCAAGAATGGTGCCTGGAAAAAAAATGGTGCCTGGATGTTTGTTTGGAGGGTCCGATGGAACCAGAAAGTCAATCCATCCAGCCCCATCCAGTGAGGCCCAGGGCAGAAGGGCCAGCAGGTAGGTTCTGGAGTCCACAGCCCCAGAGGCAGGCGTGCTGTGCGCAGCCCTGACACTCAACCCCGGCCTGGTGCTGGGGGGCGCTCGAGAGAGGTTGTTGTGAAATGTGCCACAGGAGCCATATTGTCAGCTTCTGCTACGCCTAACGGTTTCAAAACAGCCTCTAGGGGGACCCCCCTTTTCAGTTTCCCTTTTCTCCCTTGGGTAGGGTCCCTTGTCCTCAGCGAATCACAGAGCAAGCAGGGGTGACTCTTGTGTTACCCTGTGACTGCTGGGCACGACAGTGGAAGGGGAAGGAAGCACCACTGGGTTTGGAGTCCTGAGGCCCCAGTGACAAATGCTATCAGCCAACAGAAGGAGCAGAAGGGTTGACCAGCAGTGACTTAACAGATAAAGCCATTTCCTTTCCTTTTGTCCCCAGAGCAAGGCGGCCACTGTCACCCTGACAGCTGCTGACTGATGCTATCGGGGAGTCAAGCCTTCTTCACCTTTCTGCTCCTTTCTTAGCGTGTCTACATGTGTCTTCAGGCTCACAGGATGGTTGCTGCAGTGCCAGACATCACACCGTTATTCAAAGCAGGGAAATGCAGAGGTCAGAGATTAGTGTTGGCTGGATCTGTCATCTCTCCAGCTGACTTCCAGGGATATCTCTTGAGCCAGAACTGAGTGATCTTGGAAGCCAATTGTAATTGTGTCTGGTGCTAAGTATTCCATTGACCTGCATACAAACTAGCATTCTGAGGGTAAGGAAGATCAGAGTGGAGCTGGAGGGTAGGGAAGCAGAGAGTCTGCCCTGACTCCTCTGTCTCTCCCTTGGAAAGCAGCGCTCCCTGGAAACCTGGCAGGAGGCTTAGATGAGATTCCTATGTGCCAGGGGAGAGGGCACAGTGAGTGATTGATGGTAACTTGAGCGCTGGCATAAAGACAAGGACACCTCTGTCTCTGTGCGGGGATAGCTCAGGGAGATGAGTATGGCCAGAAACAGCCCGGAGCCCACCCTCAGCCTGCAGGGCAGGGGCATAAAGCGCAAGGGACACAGGCAGCACTGGCCCAGGCCTCGGGCTGAAAGACACATAAATGACAGACCAGTCTGATGGCGGAGGCGTGAGTACAGGAAGACAGAGGGAGGAGGGTGGGGGCCAGCAGAAGAGGTTGGAGTTGATCCCACAGCCTCTAAAAAAACTCCTGATGACCAAGGGGAACCCTCAGCTTTGAAACTTACCAGGGGGCAGGCTCCTGCTTGCTCAAGTCTGTGCCATGTCATGCGTGGTGAGTTTCAACCTAGATTTTAAATTGTTCGTGCAGGGGAGAAGTAATTTCCAAGAGGGCAGAGGCACACAGGTCACCACGCTGGGGAGGGGACACAGTCCTGCCTTGGAACTCGGGGTCTTAGGAGGAGAGCAGAGGTGGCTGGGGAGTCTGGAGAGCAAGATGTGGACACCCAAAGCATTTTGCTGAGTGGGAAGCCGGGGCAGGGTGGGGCACGGAGGGGCTGTTAGGTTTTACTCTCTTGGGGCCCCAGAACCCTGAGGACAGGGGCTGACCCACCCCTGCCCCGGCAGCAGCGGCGGCCGATAAAACCTAGCATGGGTGGAGAAACACACGAAACCGGCACATAGAGGGGCGGCTGCCAGCAGATGTGCCAAGTTGCGCTCACCCACAAGACGGTGATCCATGGGGTGGGACCATCTGCCAGCACACTCTCTCTATGGACTCCCCAAGTCCTTGCCTTCGCCCCATGCTTGCTGGCACCAGCCCTGTGTCCTCACACGACCGGGACACACGATTTCCTTTGGCCTTCAGAGGCCAAAGCCATAGTTTTTGGCTGCCTGACACCCAAATCCCAAAGGCTCTCGGTCACCATGCTGGCACGTGTGGTTTTCCCAGCCTTGCTCTAGCTGGCATGAAGCCCAGTCGTGATCAGATCACAGCATCCCTGAGATAAACACAGCTGGTTGAAGAGATGCCAGAGCCCCAACTTGGTCCAATCAGAGTAAGCTTCAGCTACACCCTGCGTGCAACCAGCACTTGCTGTTTTCATCTGAACCTGGATGTGGAAGGATGAAGCTGTGCAAGTCACCGGACAGCCAGCAGGAGGCAGAGGTGAGAGGCCCAGACAAGCCAGTCTGGGTCCCCTTGATCAAGTTGCACCTGAAACCACATTTCCACACTTGAGTCCAATCAGCTTTATTTTCTGCAGAAGCAGGTTCTATTGGGTTTCTCTTTGCAATAGCAAAAGTCCTGCCTGGCAGGGTGGGCGAGTGAAGACCCTCCCAGGTGAAGGCTGCTCGGGGTCCTACGAGCAGAGAGAGGGCAAGGGTCAAGCTGAACCTGGTTCCCGACATGGAGTGTATGGGCAGATAGCTCCAGGGCTGTTGGGAACTCGATAAGCTTTATGGTGTCCAAAACAGGCAGATCCAGCCAGGAAGGGTACACTTGGGAGCTGCTCGCGTCCACTCTGTAGACAGAGGTCAGGTGGGGAAGACTGCCCAGTGGCCAGCAAGGGCCTGGTCACGTGAGGGTGCACGTGCAAAGTTAGCAACCCTCCAGCTCCGAGTCTCCAGGCATCAGGCGAAAGTGACTGCCTTGTTTGGCAGCTGCCAGTGGCCGCGGGTACATGGAGGGATGGCTTGGTGGGTTTGGGGTTTCCTCTGGTCCCTGAGAAGGTGGGACACGAAGCCACAAACTCACACCCTCCCAGCCCCAGGGAGCATCTGACAAGGAGAAGATGGACAGCCAAGCTCTGCAACCATCTGCTAAGAAATGCCACGAGGAGGGGCCCATGTGATCAGCAGGTGCCAGTAGGGGTCCTTGGAGGGTCAGGACCAGGGAGGCGGGAGCGCTGGGTGCAACCTGGAAGGGAGACAGCGAGGCTGAGACTTGGGGGAGCCCCTCACGCACACTTGGGCCTCCAGGCAACCGTGCCTGAGACTCCATCCTCTACCCACTTGCACCTCATAGTCAGCATCTCCACTCCAGCCTCAGGAGTTTGGGGCTAAACCTCTTCTTCCCTGAGCATCCTGCCTGTGGTCCCTGGGACCTGCTAACAACCCTCCTGGGACAGGGGTCTGGGTGTCCTCCCTGTCCTGTCCTCCTTCCTGGTTTCCTGCAGGGCCGGGATTGGGGGCCGAGTTAGGCACCTGCGCATTCCTGAGGCCTTGTTCCAGCAGGTGGCAAGAAGGCTAGGGAAACAGAGGTTTCTCCCTTACCCACCCTTGACTATCCTGGCGGGGATGCCACCACAGGGAAGCAGAGGCTGACTGCGACCTGAGCCTGCTGTGCGCTAGGAAGCAAGGGCTCCCTCCATACAGGGGCAGGGCCAGGGGATGGGGGCTCTTACCCTAGAGGATGCTACAGGGGCGCTTCTGCGGCCGCGTGGGTTGAGGGCACAGCACAGCCCGGATCGCCTCATCGAAGACAGTTTTGAGGCCCCTCTGGGTGAGAGCCGAGCACTCCAGGTATTTCACTGAGTCTGGGTTGGGCGGGGCAGGAAGCGGAAGAGCAGAAGCATAGGTCAGGGGATGCTGAGGTGAGATTCTGTGCAAACACCCCTCCCATAATGCACCCCCTGAGTATTGTGGGGGGCTGCCAATGGGGTCCTAGCACCCATGGGGGACTCCTGGGAACCGTGTCAACCTGAGAAAGACCTTAGATAACAGCCCATGCCTTAGTTTCCCTACAGCTGAAACCAAGACCCTGAATTCAGCAGGAGTGAGGCAGCAGGGGTAGGTAATTCTGGGACACACAGAGCTCCCCCCTCGCCCTGCCCCCAGGGCCTCTGATGTGGATCCAGTCCTCTCCCTTCCCCAAGCCTCAGGTCCTCTGGGAGGAGTTAGAGACCGGGGGTGCCACACCCCAAACCCCAAAAACTTAGAAGTCACCAGAAACTGCTGTGATTAACATCCCCATCCCGGTGCAGTCTCCCCACCACACCACATGTTGGGGGTTATGTGGGAATTCACAGACTTTAATTGAAGTCAGCCCCAACAGATCCCAGCCCACTTTGCCCCCTGTGATCACCGACCAATCAGAAAAAGGTCACACACTCTGTGGACCAATCCGAGTTGGCATGGCCTGTGAGTGCCCTCCCTGCTCTTTACAGTGTCCTAGTCCCTGATCTCCAAGAAGCTCAGCTGAGGTTGTTGGCTGGGGGCTCTGCTCACTACAGATAAACTCTACCAGCAGCTGGTCTCCTTCCTGCACATGGGTAGGGTGCACAGACCCAACTTCCGCAAGCTGTTAGCAATTGCTCCACTAGCCCGTTGTACAGATAAGGCAACTGAGGCTCGTAGAGGATGTGTGACTGATCCAAGCTCACACATGGGATGTGTCTGGTCTGAGGGGGCAGGAATCAGAGTGCCCAAGAGGACCTGTTCTCTTCCGGCTGACCGTCCAGGTACACAAAGAACAGGCAAGGCCGGCTCGGAAGCAGCATCCCTGACCTTCCGGAGGGATCCTGTGTGACACCCCAAGTCCACTATAGCTCATCAGGATCCCTGAAGTGAGTAACTGTAAAACCCTTCCTGCTGAGAGGACCAGAGAAAGCTTAGGTGAAGGACGCTGAACTTCGCAGCCCCCTAGAACCTGCAGGCGCATCTGAGGACACAAGTGGGCACACACAGGCTCCAGGTCGGCACCTGCTCCCCATGGGGCACCAAGCCAGATGCTGTGATTTCCCCCTTCAAGCCAGAGAAACAGAACAAGGAGGGAAGCTGCGTTCCAGAGCCACGCAGCTGGGAGGAGGGAGGCTGGGAGGCTGTCACCTGCCAGAGGTGTGTGCTGCAGGGAAGGGGCACCTGCCAGGTCCTGCTCAGGGTCACCAGGGTCTGGCTGGCAAAGGCAGCAGCCTACAGGTCTCAGCATCGCCCTTCAGGCTTGGAAGGGCCACCTGGCACCTGGCCATGAGCCCTGTAAGGGGCCCATAGCAGTACCTATTCCTTCCTCTGCCGGCTCCCAGCTGCCTCTACCCCAGCCTGGCCCAGCTCAGCAGGTTCCGACACCCTGAGGGTTCTGAGTTGGGGCCTGCACCCCCATGGCTCTGCTTGTGACCATTCTAGGACACTGGCCAGCCCCACCCTGGCCAGTTTCCATCCCTAGGACACGCTAACCAGCAGCGATGTCCACATGGGCAGCAGGCCAGGTACCAGGAGGCGCTGATGCTGGAGGAATGGAGCCGGGCCACCTGGGCAGGGACCTGTGCACTCAGCCACCCCAAGCTGGGCAGCCGGAAGCCAGTGACTTCCCCTCCCTAAGCCTCAGTTTCCTGTAAAGTGGGGGTGGCAACAGTCCCTCCCTGTTGCTGAAGGAGTGAGAATGAAGTTGGAGAAGGTTCTGTTCTGGTTCTAAGAACAGTCATATTGTTTAGCCATGATCAACAGCGGGGAACAGAGTCCGCCCCCAGAATTCGTCATCTGGGGAGGGGGCGGGGAACCCCACAGAAGGGGTCGAAGGCAGCTGCTGCCTCCTGGCTATGGCTGCAAATACCCAGATCTGCCCCAGGGCCCATGACCTGCCCCACCCCAGGCCAAGGCAGCAGGACCCCCAAGTCACCCCCAGGAAAGGCCGTGGAGGACTGTCCAGCTTGTGCTGATGCAGGGACTGGGGCCCAGAGAAGGCAATCCATTAGCCCAGAGTCACACAGCCGGTCAGAGCAAGAGCTAGGGCCCCTCCAGGCCAGCAAGGACACAGACTGGCAGGAAGGAGAAAGGGCAGGGCTGCCCTCTCTGGCATGAGTGAGGACAGAACTGGGAGCCGAGGCTGGGGCCAGAGACTCAGACTGGGGACAGTGAGGGGAGAACGGGGGAGTCCCAGAGAAGATGGCGGCGTCCCGGGGCCAGTGCGGGTGGGGACTGGCGTTGTGGTTTCTCTTCCTGTGAGAAAACATGAGGCCCTCCCAGTTCCGGCACGTGGGTGAGTTGGGGCCAAGGCAGGGAGGGGTTAGGGCATGAGGGTAGGACCCAGTGGGGGAGGCTGAGGGCACAGGGGCCAAGCCCAGAGGGTGGTCCTGGGCTCTCAAGCACCTCAGCCACTCAGAGGAGCTCCCACCAACCTGTTCCCTAGCAGCAGTCTATCGCCCTCCCTTCAGACCACAGAGCAGCCACCGCCTGGCTTTGTGACCTGGGAAATCACTTCCAGTCTCAGGGTGAGGGGGCGGTGGTCAGGAGAGGGCAGAAGTCATGCGCCACCTTTCTCATCTTGGGCAGAGACGTCTCCTCTGAGGCGCCTTCCAGGACAAGCTAAGAAAATGACTTAGCTCCAGCCACATACAGGACAGCCTACGCCACCCCCACCTCTCCTTGCTTGCAGCATGTGCCCTTGTCTCCTGTGGCTAATTGTGGATACCATAGCCACGAGCTAACACCACGCACTGCCCACCGGGTACCATGTGTACAGGAACTCCCTTAATCCTCCTGCCCCCGTTGGAGCTGTCGCTCTCGCCTGCCTGATGAATGAGGACTCACAGGCAAAGAGAGCGCCTAGGCCACAGGTCCAAGGTCGCACAATGAGTGCGCGGGCAAGGCTAGGACCCTCTGCATTCCACTGGCCTCCCTGAACCCCTTACCAATCTCCTTGGCCAGAGCCAGGCCCTGTGGGTAGGTGATGGGTGCTAGCTTCTTCTCCTTCAGCTTCTCGATGGTGTCCTTGTCATCGCGCAGGTCCAACTTGGTGCCCACCAGGATGATGGGCGTGCTGGGGCAGTGGTGCCGCACCTCGGGGAACCACTGGGCAGGACGGGAATCCCGGAAACAGCATGTGGGTGTGAGCAGATGGGAGGTGATCAGGTGCAAGGTTGTGCGGGTTGTATTTGAGTGGAGGAAGAGAGGAGCAGGTGCAGGGTCATGCAGGGGTCAGGGCAGGCACCAGCTCAGGTGCCCCCTGCCAGCCTCGCCGCTCCCTTCCTCCCCTCCTGTGACCCCATGTGCCCCTCACCTTGGCACGGACGTTCTCATAGGAGGCCGGGCTCACGAGAGAGAAGCAGATGAGGAAGACGTCCTGAAGACATAGAGCAGGGGAGAGTAGCGATGAGCGGACACCCACAGGGGTCTCGTCCTGGCCTCTCCCACCTGTCTCCCCACCCCTGCAGCCCCTGAGAGGAGCAGCCCATGGGGCATTCGTGGCTCAGGTGCTCCTGCCCCAACATACACAGTGGCCACCCCATTCAGCAGATGGCAAAGGTGAGGCTTGCAAAGTGTACCCTCCCCCTGTTTAAGTCCAACTCCAGGCCTCTCCTAGGCCAACTTGGAGCAGTAGAGCATCCTGGGCCTGGCAGCCACAGAGCCACCTGCAGGCCTGTCTCACCACCTTCTCCCTCCCCTGGCACTCCGGGGCTGCCTGCTGAGCCCATGTCTGCCCCACCTGCAAGAGGCCAGGCAGTAGCGGAGGCCCTGAGGCCGAGCCTGGGAGGAGAGGAACCCCATGATAACACTGGACAGTGGTATGGAGTTGGGCTGGAGGAGGACAGGATCTGGGTCCCTGGAAGGGCATCCCAAGCAGAAGAAACAGAGAGAGCGAAGGTACAGGCCTGCAGAAAAGAGGTGACCCACCGTCTGGGGGTAGGAGAGAGGCCGCAGACGGTCATAGTCCTCCTGGCCAGCTGTATCCCATAGCCCCAGGTTCACGGGCTTACTGTCCACCATCACGTTGGCTGAGTAGTTGTCAAACCTACAGGAAGCAGCAACAGAGAGGCCAAGGTCAACCCCAAGCTCTGACATTGGGCCATGCAGCCCAGCCCCACACTTTCCCTTTCGGAGGTCGTACACCCCAGCCCCGTTGTCCCATTCAGAGGCCAAGATCCCAAGAGGTGCTGGGAGTGACCCCAAGTCACTCAACACCAAGCAGCCTGGTTTGTTTTTGTTTTGTTCCTTTGTGATTGATAGGTCCTAGCAAAGAACAGTTAATCCAAGGTGACAACATTGTGGCATAGTGGGTAAAGTCACCTCCAGCATTCCATATGAGCACTGGTTCAAGTTCTAGTCACTCCACTTTCAATCCAGCTCACTGCTAATGCCTCTGGGAAAGCAGCAGAAAACATCCCAAGTGTTTGGGACCCTGCCACCCACCTGGGAGACCCAGATGAAGCTCTTGGCTCAAAGCTTCAGCCTGGCCCAGCCCTAACTGTCTCTGTAATTCTGCCTTTCAAATAAACAAATAAATCTTTAATACTGATGTGAGTTTTTTGGGGAAAGGGACAGGGAGGAAGGGCCACCGCCAGAGGGCACCTTGCTGACCCCCACAGCTGGGGACCCCAGGGGAGGGGACAGCCTGGAATCTGCTAAGGCATCCCCAGAGGGCATTTAGTGACCTCCTCTTGCCTCCTGTGGGCAGCAGGCCATCTGGTCGCTTCACAGTTCAGCCTGGAGCCCACAGGGAGAGCTGTCGGGGACAGCCCCAGCAGGGCAGGAGGCACCCAGGTGCCCAGGCCTGACCCAGCCCCACAACTGGGGGAGAAGAAACAGAAACTGGACTTGGAGTCCAGGATCAAGGTCAGAACCCAAGAGGATTGAGGTGGAGGAAACTGGGACCAGAGAGGGACAGTGCCTTGCCCAAGGCCACACAGCTGGGGAGCTGCTGCACTCTGTCTACAGGGACGCTTGCTGCTGCCTCTGATCTCGCCTTGAGTGCTCTGCGCAGGCTCTGCTCCTCTCCAGACCCGGTCCAGTGCGACCCCACGCTCCTCTGGCTCCTCCTCCTCCCCCAGCCCAGCTGCCTCCCCATGCCTGTGCGAGCTGTGGCCCTGCACACTCCCACCTGCCCCTCCCCTGTTCTCTTCCCCACTCCCACTTCCAACACCTCTGCTGGCTGTTTCTAACTCCTAGACAGGCTTCAAAACCTTGGCCAACCAATTCTTCCTCTGTGGGGGAAGGGGGATCTTCTCTGTCCCGGACCCAGGGGAGAGTCCAGGGGCCCCTGCTTTGGGTGGCTGCCCTGTCTTGACCAGGAGTGAATAAGCAATGTGTCTCTCCCCCACCCCACCTCCACCCAGGCCACAGGCTCCAAGCAAGCCAGGCTCCTATTCTGCCCCTTCTTCGCTGCTCTGCCACCTGCAGTCCCCAGCTGGTGCCAGGTGAGTGCAGGGAGAACAGCATTGAATCACTGTTGGCAGCCCCTGCGGATGCCACTTGCTCCAGGAAGCCCTCGGTGACAGGCAGCAGAAGCATTCATGCTTCAGGGCAGCTCCTGGGAAATGCACAGCCCCACCCCCACACAGGTGGGCAGGGCAGCCGGACTGTCTCACACACCTACCAGCCACGCTTCCTGGAGAGAGTTCCTGGCCCCTTTTCAGTTCCTCAAATTGCCTCCTCCTGCCTGGAAAGCTTCTGCCAGTCACACCCTCTCACTCCCAGATGCCCTTCCCCTTTGCCTCCTCTTCCCCTCCATGGCCAGCCTGACTCTTACTCATCCCTCCAGCCCCAGCTCAACCTCACCTCCTCCAGAAAGGCTTTCCAGGCCCCCAGCAGGTGGAGGCAGACCCCTGTCCCAGCCTGCAGACTGCACTGGCCTGTTCTCCTGGCCGCTGAGGCCAGTACTTCCTCTCTCTCTCTCTCAGACCTTTAGGGAAGTCTTGAAAAGACAGAGACCACTTTAGCTGCCCTTCTAGGACATGCTACGATCATTCCTCAACAGTCCTCCGTCCAGAGGACCAGCTGCAAGGGAAATTTGTGCTGGAGACTCCTGGGTCCCCCTTGTTCCTTAAGAGCCTGTAGGCAGTAGGAGACGGGGCAGAGCGAGCAGATCAGCTAGAGGCACAGACCCCAGGAAGGACTGGGTGCTCAGGACCAGGCATGGGGGAGAGGGAGATATCAGACTTGCCCTGTAGGACCCAGACCCCTCTTGGCTCAAGGACAGGGTCAAGGGGCTGTCATCTGCCTGGAAGACTCTGTGCCCAGTCTGCTGACTCCTTGAGAGATCAGGGCATGAGAAGGTGGAAAAACAGCATTAGCTGCTGGCCCCACCATGAACAGTGCAGGTCCTTCCCAGCAAGGCAGGGCTCTGCTGCACCTGCTCAGAGCCTGCCCTCATAGCCTGGTCATCACTGGCACCGGCTGTGCTCTGTCCTGGAAACTGGGGCAACTGACTGGCCAAGGGCCCTGTCTTCAGGGAGTGTTGGTCCCTGAGGGGACAGGCACTAAGCAATAGTAAACTCTAAGTCAAGCTGCAGGGCGTTTGGGGACCCAGTGAGGGGAAGACAGTGTCCCACCCATCAGGAGTGGACATGCAGAGGCTGAGGGCAGGCGGAGGGGCAAGGGTCTGGGATCAGAAACTCAGGGAGCCTGGAGGGGCTGATAGGGGGTGTGGCAGGTAAGCCTGGGGATATGACAGGGGCCATCATTCAGGACTTCCAAGCCAGGACAGTACAGGGTACTGAATTTTAAGTGGGAAGGAGAACAACAGAAAGGATTTGGGTCAAGGTATGGCGCTAAAGTTAGCTTCAGGAAGCTCCACCTAAAATAAAGGGGTAAGGTAGTAGGGTGGGCGGAGAGACCCCTCCCATGTCATGGGTATCCGCAGGCAGGCTATATCCCCGCCTCCCATCTAGCACCCTCCCCAGGGTAGCTTCAGTCTCCCCATCTGTGAAATGGGGCCCTTTGAACTGTGGTGTAACTGGTTTAAGCTACAGGCAATGTCCTTATCCCATGTGGGCACTAATCCGAGTCCTAGATGCTCCACTTCTGATCCAGTTTCCTGTTGATGTATCTGGGAGGCAGCAGAAAATGTCCCAAGTGCTTGGGCACTTGTACCCACACTGGGGACCCAGAGAAAGCTCCTAGCTTTGGCCTAACACAGCCTAGGCTGTTGCAGCCATTTAGGGAGTAAGTCAGCAGAAAGAAGACTTCTGTAGCTCTGTCTTTCTAACAAATAAAATATATGTTAAAGAGAAAAAAAATAATAACAGGTCCTAGGCTTCAACAATGAATCCAGGACCTAAGTCTTTCAGACATAGATGCTGTGGCCACAGGACAGAAGCAATACCTCGAGTTACCTGCCTAGCTGCCATGGTCCTCATCCATTCTTCCAGCCTTCTGGACGCATCACTAACTCAGCATACAGTGAACTGGAAGGTAGGTGCACAAGGCTTGGCAAGAGCCAATCAGGGGACAGCCTCATGGGCCTCAGCGCCTGATTGGCCAGCTGGAAGCGCTGCCTGCTCTGCTCAGGGTAGTGAGCTCTCCCAGGCCACGTTCAGATCTGCCTCTGCGCAGTGAATAGGCCCTCGTCAGCTCCGATTTATCTGATCTTGTGCAGTGTGCACTTGTGCTCCTCACTGGCAGCTAACCTGCTACCCAGACCCCACCAACTGCCTCAGCCCTTACTTCTGGGTCAGAGACCAGGAGTTGTCTGCTTTACCCAGCCCACCCCCTCCCTCGCTTCCCATATCTTCTAAGTCAAAGACCCCCACCCCCCGCCCTCACACAGACCCCTACACAGCAGCCTCTCTGAGGGCTTCTGCAGAACTCAGTGACCAAGAAAGAGCGAAGGATGCCTAGTTGATACCTGGTTGTCAGGCCCCAGTGTGAAAGGAAAATGAGAATGTCAGAGCATTAAAACATAGATGGATGGATAGATGGATAGATAGATAGATGGATAGATAGATAGATGATAGATAGATAGATAGATAGATAGATAGATAGATAGATAGATCATATATGCAGGGCCCTTTGATCCCTGAGTCCAACCGGTGAGGGGAGTGGTACTCTACAAAGCCAGTTCCAGTTGGGTGCTCTGGCCCAAATTCTCAGACAGACCCAGGAAGGGGGCCCTCGGCCACTCTGCCAGCTTCTCTGAGATTGCCCAGGAAAACCACTAAAGCCACTAACAGCTACCAGGGGCCAGGGTGGGGGTGGGGCCTCCACACTGCTGGCAAAAACTTACACTGGCTGAGGGCCAACAGCTGCCACCACCCAGCCCTGGGGTGGGGTCTGGGCAAGGAACTTGGAATCTCCCAGTGCAGTGCCTATCTCTTCTAGAACAAGCCTCCAACAGGGCAAGAAGAGATAGGAGATGGGAGGGTTCTCCAGCCTGGCGATAGTGGTCTACCCTGATTCTGCACCTGCCTGTTCATCCTGGTGTGGAGCCAGCTCACTTGGAGGTACCTGAGAAACATCCAGTGATGGGTGGGGAATAACAGGAACCTCACAATCATGTTACAGGTGCACGCACGTGTTGGGAAGGGCCCTCACTGGCTGCAGGTTTTCCAGGCTCCTTGCCCAGTGTTTTGCTGTTAGCTGCCAGCCTTCCTCCTGCCTGAGGCAGGGTGAGGCAGCTGAGCCCATGACCCCCCACCCTCTGGGGAAGGCTGTCAGCAGAAGGAACCGGACCACCTGCTGTGGGCCAAAAGCGAGGGGTGGCAGCAGGAACATGTTCAAAACCAACGCTCCCCTTCACCCCTTCCTCTTGCGTGCTCTCTCTTCTTTCTGGAAGCCTCCCCAGCTGCATGGCAGATCTGCCAGTCCACTGACCATGACTCTGGCACCAAGGGCCTGATTGATCCCTGTCCCATGTGCCCCGCACATGGGACATGCCACCAGGGGGTGGGCCTGACCAGGTACCCATCCCTGTGTTCCAAGCTGCCCGCTCCAGCACTCACACAGTGGGGATGTACTCTCCAGGGAAGGCGTTGGTGGTGTAGCTGATAAGAAGGCATGTCTTCCCCACGGCTCTGGAAGACAAAAGGGGCAGAGGGCACAGTCACCGACAGCTGAGAGCCAACCTGATCCTCCAGGGAACCTCTCCAGCCCCCCGCCACGGGGCGTCCACCCAGGCCCACACCTCTGGACATCTCATGTCTGTTTTCTGCCTGCTGTGAGTCTGGGAAGGACATCTGGGAATTTGTGACAGTGCAGAAACGGCAACATCCTGGCCCAGAGGTGCTGGCCTACACAGCAGGTAGAACCAGGAATCGGAACTTTTACCCAAAGCTTACCAGGTGCACATGACAAAGGACACGCGGTGACACACAGAAGATGCCTGGGGAGCCTGGACTTGTCCACTAGGCTCTGCCTCCACCCTCTTGGGCTCCAAACCCCATCTGCATCCCCACTACCCAGTGGCACTGCCTGCAGTAACTGCCCCCTGCCTCAGTTTTCCCACAGAGAAAATGGAGGTGGGTCTGTCTTCCCAGGAGCATGCTGAGACATGAAACAGACAATGCCCACAGCAGCCACTGACTGCTGGGAAAGCTAGGGGGCTGCCTCTCCCCACCCCCCACCACCTGCCCTGGCAACTTAGCAGTCAAGGGCATAGGGCTTAGGACTCAGAGTGTCCTGGGTTCAAGTACTGTGATATCTCGGGGGACAGATTACTGTCTAGACTTCAGTTTTTTTCCACCTGTAAAATGGGTCTAAACATTAGAGTTGGTGCTTCACAAGCATGATGCCTGACACACAGCAGGCAATGAAAAGAAGGTGAACCCCATCATTGCACTGTCTCCCCCTCACCCTGCAGTCGGTGGGGGGTAGGGGCACAGGAGCTTGGTGCAAAGCCAAGAGCCCAAAGGGGCGGCAGCAACAGACCTCCTCCTGAGGGCTTGGTTTTGTCACTTCCTGTTCCTGGCGGGCAGGCTACTGGCCAGCTCACCCTCTCCTCTCCCCCATCGCGCTCCCCAAGGGCCACAAGGTAACTGAACGGCTGAGACCTTGCCCTTGACTTCCCCCCTCCCTCTGTCAGATCAGATCCAAAGCAGAAGTGAGCAGGGCCTTCACGCATCACAAGCAGCCCGAGACAGGCAGGTCAGAGCCAGAGACGCGGCCCCTGCAACCCTGCCCCCCCAACTTGCCCAAGACCTCCAGATGCCCGTCTGCAAAATGGGAATGCTGCGATGAGAGGCCCCACCCAGCTCCAACCTGCTGGGCTGGACTCACACTTGCTTAAGGGCAGGACCAAGAGCTGGGGGCTCATAGACCCCATGGGAGATAGACATGTTAAGGCCCATCATCTTGGGCCCAGCACAATAGCATAGTGGCTAAAGTCCTCGTCTTGCACGCACCGGGATCCCATATGTTCACCCGTTCTAATCCCAGCAGCCCTGCTTCCCATCCAGCTCCCTGCTTGTGGCCTGGGAAAGCAATCAAGGACAGCCCAAAGCCTTGGGACCCGGAAGAGGCTCCTGGCTTCAGATTGGCTCAGCTCCAGCCTTTGCGGTCACTTGGGGAGTAAACCATCAGACGGAAGATCTTCCTCTCTGTCTCCTCCTCTCTGTATATCTGCCTTTCCAATAAAAATAATTAAATCTTAAAAAAAAAAAAGAAGACCTGTCATCTTAGCTCTGATGACAGAAAGGCCCCTAAACCCACCTGTCCCTCTTGTCCCTGCAAGTCTCCTCTTTCTCCGGCTTAACTCTTTCTCCTCCCCCGCTCCCAGGTCAAGAGGAGCCAACCCATCTCAAGCTACCCCACAGCAGCTCTAGGGGCACAGGCCTCCTCTCACACCTCCAAGCTTCAGGGGCTGTGACTTTCCCAGGGCCACAAAACACATCAAGCCAGGGAACAGAGTCCAGGTCATGGCCACCTGTATGCCAGAGCTGAGGACAGGCTCACTACCTTGGGAAAGCTGTCCCCAGCACCTTGGGGTACAATGAGGAGCCCTCACACAACATACACACCTGCCATCCCGTACCCTCCACCTAGGCAATTTCCGGAGTGGTGTGGAAAGGGCTGAATTCAGCTTCTCTCTCCCAAGCCTGCCCTAGGGTGCTCCCTCTAGGTTTTGGAAGTGAGTTCTGCTCCCTGCCACCCAGGGGTGCCTACATCTGCAGAGCACGGGGCATCCCCGGGTGAGAGGGTGTTTCAGGTGAGGCTTGTAGGAAGCAGGCCAGGTACTTACCCATCTCCCACCACCACACACTTGATGGCCTGCATCGTGTCCGGAGCCTGGAGTGGCAGTGATGATGGCAGCGGTGACAGTGATGGCTCAGGGCCGGAGCTCCTGCGGGCACCAGGGCTGGGAGGAGAGAGCCTATGAGGTGCCGGCTAAGTAACGGCAGTGGCAGCAAGGGTGGTGGTAGGGCGCCAGGCAGGAGGAAGCGGAAGGAGAACTTACTCAAGCTGCTGGCCCACGGCCGTTTGCAGAAGGCGGGGCGTGCGGTCTGACAGAGCAGCTGGGGCCCCCTCAGGTGCTGGGCTGGATCTTGGTCCCCCAGCTCCCCAACACAAACACACACAGACACACAGAGAGGCACACTGTCCTGGGGCTCCCATAAGAGATCGGGAACCCCATGGGGCCCCTAGGGGACAGGTGCTCTCCAAGAACTTGAAGCTGCCAACAATTCAGTTTATCCCAATTCTAGACATAAGCACTAATGAGCACCTACTGTGTAGCAGGCAGTGGTGGTGAGGGCACAGCTCATCTCTGGTGCTCATGGTCTTTGAAGCAGGAAACTGCGGCCTCAGCACAGGTGTCTATCAAGCGAGACAGAAAGTGAGCAAGGCCACGGGGTGTGCAGTGGGTGCCTTGGAGTTACCTGGAGGGAGAGCCAGGCTCTGTCACCTGGAATCCCAGCTGCTATCCCAAAGGGGACGCTCTGGGAAGAAGACTTTTTAGCCAAGACATGGGGGTTCCCCTAAGCTAGAGCCCGTGTCGGGGTGTCCTGGGGGTGGGGTGGGAATGGAAAATGTAGGGGAGGGTAATGAGGGTGTCAGCTGACAGAGAAGGGAAATGAAAGGGAAGTAGCAGGCAGTGCCCTAAAGGGCTCAGCCCTGGGGCCCAGGCATCCTGAGGCCAGCCACCATGGCCCATTTCACAGATGAGGAAACCGAGGATCTGCTGCTTGCCTGGATCACTCTGCCCAAATATCCAGCTCAGACCCAGGTGACTCCCCTGCTGCTGTGCTGGAGGAAGCGGTGCCTGAGCTCTCTAGCTCAGGGTTAAGGGGATGTTGTAAAGTGGCTGTTCCCTTTGTCACAAGATAGACCTGGGAGGCGCAGGGTTGCCCAGTTAGCTCCTAGTTCAGTGTTCCTAGCTGCTCTTCCCCCACCCCAGCACTTTCAGCTCCAGGGAGAGGGAGCTGGGAGGGGAAGGGCAGGGTCACCAGACCTGCCCCTTGGGAGAAGCCTGGAAAACCCACCCTACAAGCAAGTGTCCTCCACGGTCCTTGGGCTGGGGCAGGCCGTGCTCAGGGATTTTACCGGGCACCTGGGGGCCAGCCTCTGTCCGAAGGAGCTGCAGGTGTTGCAAGGATGTGGCTTCACCCAGGAAGTTACCCACCCACCCACTCACCTTCAAGTCCATCTGCCAGCTGCTGGCCAGCAGGCCTGGCTTACCACTCCCCTGGAGCTATGCAAAGCTGTGCTGGATTCTGACCTGGCACAAAGAGGCCCAGCATCACCCACAACCACTCAGGGAGTCCCTGGCTGCCAGAGGATTTCATTCTGGACATTGTTTCCCTATCCACCAGTGGCTTACAGAGCTGGTATTATGGCACAGGTTAAGCCACCATCTGTGATTCCAGCATTCCATGAGAGTGCTGGTTCGAGTCCCAGATGATCCACTTCCAATCCAACTTGCTGCTAATACACCTGGGGAAGCAGTGGAGGATAGTTCAAGTGCTTGTCCTTGCCATCCGTGTGGGAGACCCGGATGGAGTTCCTGGTTGCTGGTCTGAATCAGTCCTGGCTGTCGCAGCCATTTGGGGGAGTGAATCAGAGGTGAAAGATTCTCTCTCACTCTCTCTCTCCCCCTCCCCCCAGCTCTGCCTTTCAAATTAAATAAATACATCTTTAAAAAAAGAGAGAGAGAGAGATATGCCATCCTCTTGGAAAGTTCCCTTACATCCATGTGCCATCCATCCATCCCCCTCTCTCCCTCACACACATAACATGCCCACATGCACCTGCACACGCGCACACACTCATGCACATATTCGGGTCTCCTGCTGCTGCCATCCGTGGCTTTCTGGTGGGCAGGATTTCACATCAGAGCAGGATCTCACATCCGGGGCTTCTTCTGCAGTGCCCTGGCTCCACGTGCTGAGGCTCATCTGGGTGGTGGCCTGCACTGCCTCTTTAAGCAGTAAGCAGTGCCCCTCACCCTGCAGATGCGTCACATCTGGTTGTGCAGTCAGGCCCCACCTTCTGAAACCACATGTGCCAACTCACTGACTCACAGAACCGCAAGGCTTTGGTCAGAATGAGAAGGGGCCCAAGGCCCTTGGTTCACGCGGCTTGGTTCACTGTCCGCAAAGCAGCTTCCGATCTCCGCTCACATACCTCCTGTGCTGGGGAGCTCACTCCCTGCAAGGATAGAGCCTCCTGTCCCTACCTCACCCCACCGCGAGGCAAACTGTGAGAAAGCCTTTCTTCGGGGAGAGGGGTGCATTTTGTGCAGTGGTAAAGCCGCTGCTTAGGGACATCTGCAACCCACGTCAGAGTTCCTGGTTCAAGTCTTGCTTACTGTACTTGCCACTAATACCCACCCTGCTGCCCAGAGCAGGAGACCTGGATGGAGTTCCTGACTTCTGCCTGACTCAGCCCTGGCTGCCGTGGACATTTGGGGAGTGAATCAGTGAGTGGAAGCACTCCCTTCCTCTCTCTCTCAAATAAAGAAGGATGGTGGTGGGTAGGAGAAAGGGTAGGGGAAGGGAATGTGAATAAGAAGAAAGCCTTCCTCATTTTTACCCCAAATCTACATCCCTGGAGCTCCCCACGAGGTCATACTTTTTGCCCCAGGGCCACACGGGCTCAGTGGCTCCACTGTCCTTTTACCAGTGTGCTGGTAACATAGGGTTTTAGTGTAGTCATTTTTTCTGGTGTATAATATTCCTTTCACATAAATGTTTCCACATGCACTTCTCCAGTTTCCCATTAGGGGGCATATATATGGCCTGCACAGCAATAAATTCTGCTGCCCACAGTACCAGGACTGGGAGCAGCCTACAGCCTTGCCCAGAAGGGCAGTGGCAGAGCTGTGAATTCCTCTGCCGTCTGCCTGGGCAGACAGCACAGCTTCGTTCCCCAGGAGCCTTCCTCACCTCTGCCTTTGTCCACACTCACCCAGGTGAGACTTCTTCCTCCTGCCAATCTTGTGGGTGTGAGCTGTGTCTGATCCTGATGTCCACCAAGTGCTGCTGATGTCTGTGTTTTCGCAAATTGTACTGGACACAAGTGTTTCCGGTTCTGCAAATCTCTTCACACTTTTTGCTTCTTTCTTGGTGTATGTTTTTAAAGGAGTTTCCCTCTCACTTCTTAAAGATATACTTATTTGAATAGCAAAGTGACCACCAAGAAATGAGGAGGCAGAGAAAGATCTATCTTGTGGTTCACCCCCAACATGGCCACCATGGCTAGGGCTAAACCAGGCTGGATCCCCCAAGTGGATGGCAGGTGCCCAGGTTCTTGAGATGACACTACACCCCCCCCCAAAACCTGAGTGCACACCAGCAGGAAGCTGGAACTAGGAGCAGAGCTGCGACTGAAACCCCAACACCGTGATAAGGAAAGCTTTGGGAGTCCCCCAGGAGCATCTCAACCCCTGAGCCGAAAGCCACCCCCAGAGGGCGCTGTACATGGCCAGTTCCCTGCCTGCTTCCTGTCACAATGTAGCCTGGGGCCCAAGCTATGCTGTTTCAACCTTCCAGTCCCTGGAACAATGAGCCAAGAACATTCCTCTCTTTTGTCAGGTGCCCAGCCTAGGAGCTGGCATCGGGACACCACAGGTTAAGGCCCTAGTTGGCAAAGCTGGCATCCTGTTTCACAGCACCTTTGGGAATCCTATCTGCTCTGCTTCTGATCTTGCTCCCTGCTAACACACCTGGGAAGCAGCAGGTGGTGGCCTTGGGCCCGTGATGCTCTCACGGGAGACATAGATGGAGTTCCTGGCTCCTGGCTTGAGCCTGGCCCAGTCCCAGCTACCGCAGCCATTTGGGGAATGAACCAGCAGGTGAAAGATCTCTCTCTCTCTCTCTGCCCTTCCAATAGATGTGTACTATCAGTATCAAATATGTTCCTGTAACAACACACAACAGACCAAGGCAGTGGACAGATGTACCTTTTCTCCCCTGTGACCTGTGACTTTCGAATGAGCTTTACCATGCATCTCTTTGCTACACTCAATTTCCTGCATTCTTCCTCGTGAGGTTTTTGGAATGCTGCTTCTCCCACAGTCAGCCTTGCAAAATCAGAGTAACCTTAGGATGTGGCAAGATGGGAGCCATCTCTGATTCATCCATGCTATGGGTTAGATTTCATTAACTATGTGATCAATGACTACCATCCTTTCTACCAGAGGGAAGATCTACATCCCATGCAAGTTTAGGATGACTTTGGGGTCTTGTGCATCTGCAGGACTAGACCTTCGCCTCCCTGTCTGTGGTCTCTCTGTTGGTGCATTGAGCCAGCTCCACGTGGCCTCAGCCCTCTATGACCTCTTTACAAATTCCCCTCCCTGGAGCTTTTTCAAAACTGTCAGCACCATCAACTGACCGCATACATTTTAGAATAAGCTTGTCAAGTTCCAGAGAAGGCTGTGGCAGGATTCTGATGAAAGCTGTCTTCAGTTGCTCGAGGAGCCGGAGGAGACTGACATCTTCAAACAACCGAGTTTCCCTATCCAAGGACAGTGGCCAATTTCTCTGTTCTGACTTTCGATAAAGTTTTATAGCATTTCTCCAGGAAGGTGACATTCACTCAAGACTTATGTTTTGGTTCCTCATTACTTTCAGCAGCTTGAGAACAACGATTCCTTTCAATTGGATTTTTCTGTGTTATCTACAAGTAGGGAAAAATGTCACATTTTGCATATTGGACTTGGAGAGACTTGAATGGAAATTCCAATTATACTTTATCTTGAGATTTTGCCTCTAGCAAGTCAGTCTGGGTAGGTAGTCTTATCATTTACAGGAAAGTGACAGTTTTATGTCTTTCGTCCCAGTTTTTTTATGACATGAATTCCTCCACTTGGTATGGGGCCGGATGGAGTTGATGACAGTATGCAGTCTCATCTCTTTCTAATCTTTCACCATTGAACTTCATGCTTGTTGTAGGCTTTGGACCAATATTACTGAGTTAAATTTCCCTGTTGCTGTTAGTAACAGCG